AAAAAAAAAAAAAAAAAAAAAAAAAAAAAAAAAAAAAAAAAAAAAAAAAAAAAAAAAAAAAAAAAAAAAAAAAAAAAGAAAAAAACAAAAACAAAAAACAAGAAGAAAAGAAACGAAAAATACAAGGACCAGACCAACTACAGACCACCTGAAAAAACATCATGGGTTCAAATCCTCGTACGCGTATCAAAAACAACAAACACCAGGTCATCCCTGGGACCGACCGACCCGATCCCATCCAGTGAGTACCGGTAACCACTATCGCCATATCCTCCCATATTTCCTTGAGAAATTGACCAATGAATCTTCAACATACATATCAAATAGTCCCAACAATCTTTGACATTCGTTTGCTCCAAGACCAGCTTACTATCATAACACCCACAAAACTTCTCCAAAACCTTCAACGCGTGACTCAACCCAACAGAATCCCCTTTCTTATAACGGACAAAGATAGAAACATCGTCAACCAGACGGAAACCGTAAAAAAAACTCCTATCACTTCCTAAAGAAGACAAAAAAATAAATCCATTGTAGGCACATAGTAAACAAGTCAAGGCCCGACGGGACGACTTACCCATGGGTATCCCGACATTCTGCTTCAACAAACTTCCGGACGCCATCACAAAGGTATTGTCAAGCTTAAACTTCACAAAAGAAAAAACATCCTCAAACTTCAAAGAGACCCACCCTTCCTTTCCTTTGTTCTTCACCATTCTAGCCCCCTTCCCACACCTTTTAACGACTACAGCAGTGAACTCCTTACTCTCTCAAAAATCAATAACCCATGACACAACCTGCATAATCGATTCATGGGGGAGATTGGAAAACATTTTCTTAACGTCGTAAGAAACCCCCAGAAGACTTTGACCTTTTTTCAATCCCTTGTTGATTCTTCACTAAGTCCTCAACACAACGTAGGTTAAGATTGGAGTGGGCTGACAAATTCTACAACATACAATTCACTGCTTTTGAAATCAATTTACCACCTTCAGACGAACACTCCAAAAAGGACGGACAAATAAGTCTACACCTCTCAGTATCCTTGTGTTTAGGAATACAATACGCTTTGCCGAGTTCCCCTTCCAACCTTCACTTAGCAATGCTTTCTAGCCCAAACTCCTTATACCGATATAACATTGACTTCAACACCTCAGGTTCTTCCGACGTACAGACAGAAAAGGCAGGATTATCCAAAAAAAACTTACTCATACCCGTTCGATAAACAACGGGGCAGCAAACGTACATGTCACCCATGTTATGATCAAGAGGGCAGCAAACCAGTCTTTTCACAAACTCTCAAAATTTTTGCAACTCATTAATATTGCACTCGCCACTCAATCCAACAACACCCTCTAAGTGATTAAAACAAGATGGAAGCTCAGAAAAAATATTAGATAATGAGTCAAGAGGAGGAATAGACGCTAGGGAGTGGAAAGCATCAAGAGTAGCACCGCAGTAGAACGTAAACGGAAGGGCCTCAAAATATTATTACTATTTTTCATCCATTGAGGAAACAACTCTGATTCAGACACCCGAAATGCCACATGGTTCTCCTTCCGTTCAAGCTCAGCAGACGCATCCGCGCAAGCACCGATTGCCTTATCATTTCTGGCAAATCTTCAAAAATTATGTAGACAATCACCAACAGTACGGTTCTTACACCAGACAAACCGCACACGCCGAATCAGGACATCCTTCCATACCAGTGGAATCCTCAGTTCGTGAACCAACCGGGCACACAGCCTTCTCACACAGGCTTTACTTATCCGATCATCATAGACAATTCGTACAATAAGATGTTGTCTAACTTGTACTCCAAACCGAAAGGAAATAGTTTTCGACAGGATACACCTCAAACGGCCCCTTGTCCTCTTCTCACAAAAAGTACGAACCGTCGTAAAGGTCAACACTAAGGATTCAAAGGACCAAGAATACAGAGACTTACGAGAAGAAGGATTACTAAGGAGGCAGACCAAGGTAGGTTTGAATGCGAGTGACTTACTAAGGAAGGGAACAACCGATTCAAAAATTAACGTAACACCGTCTCTTACCCATCCTCGTGCATGCCGAAAAAGCCCTCGCCTGAATTCACAACAGACAACCGAACCACCATAAGCACGTCGGAGCACTTTCCATCTATCAGTCAACACCGAACCACCTCGACATGTAACCACACAGCGGTGAACGAAATTCTCTCGACAGTAATCAAGAACAGAAAGCAAACTGTGAGTCTCAACACCAAAATTCGAATAAAAGGTCAACAGAGAGGTACCTCTTGACACACTTGAAACACCTGTAACACGTTTTTTCCTTGCGTTCTTCAATCTCTCCCTTAGTCCAGGGTGGCGACGCTTAGATTGTTTGTCCTTGTCTCTACAATTGAGAGAGGGCGAAAAAAGTCTAATAAAAAACTTCTCGCATGACAACACATCCGCTTCCAAGCAGACGCACAAAGGAATAGCGATGTAATTATGTGGCCCACATCGTCTTAACCAACGATACAATCTTTCATTCCTATTGCTCTTCGACTCCACACTAGTACAACACGCCTTGTATACATGTTCTCCCCACCGAGTATGTAGATCTCTCGAAGTACTACCGATATACAAATGCCGACACCACGGGGATATCAACGCATAAACCAACGGACCACATTGCAAATCAAAATCAAAATCATTCGTAAATAACCGCAAGAGGAATCCACCAAGTTTAACACCCCACGGTATATGCCCGAGAACAATCAGAAGAAAAACCAATAAACATAGAAGCATGCTAAGTGCCCGACATCGAAGAAAATCAGAGGAAAGCGAACGGATTCTAACGCAACAATACGGCAAATTCCATAACCACGCTGCGTCCGGGTACGTAACTACGAAGTAGTAGAAGCGTCGTTACCCTCCGTACTGTCATCCGTAGCCGGACCGGCATCATCGGTGACATTGTGGATGACCACACCCCCCGTTTTCGCAGCACCTACCTGAATTTTACCGAAAGCAGCATCAACTCATTTAATAACAATCTCCTCCTTAGTCATGTCCAGCGTAGTGTAAGTCACGCCCTCCTTAGCACACTGCACAGTGATCTCATCTTTTTTCATAGGTCGAAGCACCTTCCTTGTTTCCATCAAGAACGCATCCCGATCATTCGCGGCTACTGCTTGCGCCGCCGGGGTCAACTGACGTTTACCTTTATCAACTGTCCCGACAGCCACACGATCCAGACGTGCTTTCAGATTAGACGTCGGTGGGGTTCGTTTTCCATATCAATTTTCGCCATCTTCTCTCTTAGGCGCTCCACTTCCTGTTCAGCCAATCGACGACTGTTGAGCTCACGTAGCCTCCATTCCTTCAAAAGCTCGATCTCATGCTCTTGATGCTCGACTCGTTCTTTCAACTTAAGCTCTTCAACAGACCCTGGTGGAGCTGGTGTAACTCGTGCCCGAGTCCTTGCGCCCCGGATAGGTGTACTGGTAATCATGACGCTTCCTCTCTTATTGTCGGGCCTCAGTGCCTCGGCTTTCCAAACATCCGCAGCGTTAGTAGCTTCCTCATTCACCTTCTTTAGCCTTGCAATCTCCTCCTCCATCAATGCAAATCTCCTCTCAGATCGTAACCGTTCCCCTTTCAATTCTCGTTTATACCTTCCAAACTCAGTTTCTGATGATAACACTCCTCCAGCACGCTTCTGCGCCTTCCTCAATTCCTCGATTTCAACACGTAACTTCGTCATCGCTTCCCCTTCAATGCCTTTCTTTCCTTCGATCAACTCACGCACTCCGTCCAATTTACTTCCAATTTGACGATGGATTTGCGAGTGAAACTCCTCACGCTCTTTCTTTTCCTGTAACCTACGCTTCTGTTCTTCTTGTTCTTTCTTCACCCGTTTCTCCTCCTGCTTCTTTGCTTGCTCCCGTGCTGCTTCAACATCCTTCTCAGCCTTCAAGAAGGCAACGGTAGCCTCCAAAGTCTCCACACAGGGACGTAGTCCCCCTCCATAGCCATAACCATATCCACCATGACCAACGACATTGTTTCCGATAGCAGGCATCGTTACAAGGGGAACATTCTGAGCAGGAACTATCGAAGTACTCGGGTTAGCAGGAGCAGCAGAGAAGGTGAACCGACGATCAGGTAAGGAACAGAAACGGGAGAGATGACCAGGCTGACCGCAATTGTAGCAGTTGTGAATCGTTGACGACTGACCGTGGTTGGAAGCCATGCTGCTACAGGAACTAGACTCGAAGCCACACGAACGTAGTACTACTTCTACGACCGTTACCTCGTGATAGGAAGTTGTCGATACGACGACAATACTTCACTTAGTTCATCAGAACAACAGGAGCCAAAACAGCCGAGCCGTTAGATCACACACACATGCATTCAGGATTGCAGACAAAGTAGACAGACAAGGACAGAGACGTAGACGAGGAACAGGACAAGACAGAGACATAGACAAGAAACGCAAGATAGGTCTCAAATCAAAAGTAATCCCGAACGCGACATTATCGGAAGAATATAACATGAAGAACAGTTCCGGACATAAATTCGGCTGACCAAATGACTTGAAAATTTACAGGCATGTACCTCACGTCATAGAAAACTCACAAAACAAAATTCAGAAAACAATGATTATTTTTAGGCCCCGAAATAATTTTTAGCGGGGGCCGAACGCCGTCGGGTTCGGACCCCGTACGGGACCCCGAACGCCTGTACGTACGGAGGTCTGCCCGGGGACCTCCGTACGTACGGGCTGGTGACCCTTAATCAGTTCATATAATATTTTTTGGATTATCATTGTATTATAAGGCGTTTCAATCAAAATTTAAATTCTGATTCTTATATGGTATTCACATATCGATAAATACAAATGTGTGACAAATATACACTTAAGGAGTACACAAATGTGACAAGTATACACCAATCGAAAACCAAACAATACAGTAAGTCAAGTGTATAAATACATTCATTATATCTCCGGTCGGTATGACACCCCGACCAGTTTCGACAGCTACCATAACGTCTTCCTTAGAGAGAATCAATGATTGTCTCCCTTAACTACACAATATATGAATCTGAATTTCTCTTAGATTGTTTCTTGGGTATCTGATGCTTCATTTACATCTGCTTTGTTTCACCCTTAGGGACATTATAACCTTCATACAAGGTTTATCCACCAAATGAATTCGGTATAGGAATTAGTATTAAGCTACATCATTAAGCATAAGTAGATGTTGGGATGATAGTGATGCTTGATAAATCTCATGTAAAAAAAATTGACTGCTTCTACTCATAGACCTTTCTTTTTATCAGTACATCTGATTGTATCACATAACCCTTTGATGCTCCTTTACAACAACCGTATAACCTAAGGATTCAAGTGGGATAAAACCCTATTGTCTACCTTCCAAAGATGTTGTTTTTTATTACTTGGAAATACTTTATATAAAAATTAAAAAAACAAATTGTTGTAAGTATTCATCAACTTGACTTGTTCATGAAGTTTCGGCGTGTCAAAATACACCACCTCCCATTATGAGTCGACCTTTATTACTTCTCCACTCACCGAGATAATTAATATAAGTGTTGCGTGAGATGTCATATGAGTTTGATAATAAGATGGTATACCTCCACTGTGTTAAGCGCTTTGGGATATGACGTATGAACTCCGCACCTCGTTCACACGGACGAAGTTGACAGAGCTAACTTCCAGAATCTGCAACTGCGCCTTTTCAAAGTGACCTATTGCTTTTCGTATTGGTCAAGGTCCAAATGGAAAAACAGTTTACAGTAATCATGTAAGTCGATAAGAGTAATACTTTGTCGCCTCAGGTGAATTGGCGGTTTAAAGCTTCAATACATAGTCCAAACCTTGCAAATTTTTTTCATCACCTACTTCTAAAGTTTCCAAGGCTCAAGGCTAGAAGACTACAAGGTTGGGGGTGCCAAAAAAAAAAAAAAAAAAAACTTCACTCATGATTCAAAAAATATTGACGGCCAGAGTAAAGTCGTCTGTACACGGCCTCAACCTTGCAATAACTCATAATCTACTCATAAATTTCAAAGGTTTGGGCTTATCGAACCACCGTCGTTGACAACGCCAGCCAAAAACGAAGAAGTGTGCCATTAACGTTTCAACAAAGCTTAATGTACAGTGTAACGCTACCAGGCTTAGGTGCATTGACAAGTTAACAAAAATAAGTCCCTAAAGCTTCAGTGCACACGTGTATCAAGGTGCTTGCCCGTGATAACAATCTTGTGGAAATTTGTTTCGTGCCTACTCTGAAAAGTTTGCGGCTCGACCTACCAGACTAAAAAAAAAAAAAAAAGTGTATCGTTGGCTGTTTGAAAAAGCTTGGAGAGTAGTGCAATGCCTCTAAGGCCCGGGTGTACTGGTCGTTTAAAACTTAGTCCCTTGTTCGTCGATCTAATGTTGAAATTTTCAATTGCATGACATTCATGTGGACGAAGGAGAAAAATGGAGCAAAACCAAAAGTGCGCAGTTGAAGAGGAACAAAAGGCTAGCCTTCCCCCAACCTTTTCCCTCGGTAAGGTCCACGTACGTCACCTATGAACAATAATGTCACACACCCATGCCAAATTCGCAGCTAGTTTGAGAAAACTGCACCTAGCCTTGTTTCGTCTAGCATGTAGTAAGAAAATCTCTATATGTGTTGCCTCGAAGAGAACTAGGAAACTTAGGCGGGGTTGAAGACCATAGTCATAGGGGTTTGAGGAGGGGCAGAAAGAGTGCATTCTGCCACGAGTTGGTGCTTGATTGCCCACATAGTAGGTGGGCAAGAGAGAGGGTGGATGGCCACCAGTTGGTTCGTGGCAGTTGCCATAGAACAATGGGCGCAATTGACATTTTTCTTCCAATGACGAACGTAACGAATTGGTCGTTGGGAGAGGGGGCGTAGCAAAGGGGATTGGATTAAACACTTGAACTACAACGTTGCAAGGCGGTGTTTCACACTCTTTAGCAAGAGCAAGAATTTACGTACTTACACATGTTTTTCCAAAGTGTGTTTAACCGCAATTACTATCATGACTAGTTGAGTGTGACAAAAATCACGTCTAAAACTTTGTAAAAAAGTCATACTGAGAGTATGCCATAACTTGAATAAAGCGTCTGTCTGCTTGCCTTTCTACTACCACGTTTTTGTTGTCACGACCATATGTTGAACTATCTATGATGTTTCGTTTATAGTTCCCCCCCCCCCCCCCCCCTTAATCCATTGTTTTCGTTGAGATATGAAATGAAAAGTGAATTACATTCGTCACGTTTTTTTTGGAAAAAAAAAAAAAAATTGAAGCAAAAAAAAAAGTATTAGTGGACAGTGGAGGTTGAGTGGGCGAACTAGGGCAATGTCCCACTAGGAAAGAAAATTGGACTAAGTGTATGAATCAAAACGTGTTCATGAAAAGTTAAAGAAAATTGTGATAAATTTGTTTTCCTGCATCTTTGTGTTATACACGTTAAAATTTAAGGGGTTGATTTACTCCTTTGTGCTACCGAAACCTAGCGCTACCGATAATTTTTTCTGTATTTGTTTCTTTTAAAGGAATACTACCTTTCAGGACGTGATGCTAAGCCGCAAAAGTAGCCTACTCCAAAAAAATAATCGTCCAACATCTATTAATAATTTTTATCCATGGCACCCGGCCTCCGAATTTGAATTTTGAGGACGCGACCTTGAAGGTACTGGTGGTTTAACAATTTTTTTTTTTTTTAACTGCCGAATGTAACTGCAAAATCGACCATTTTCTTTTTCTCCTTCGTCTTCTTCTACCTTTCACTACCCCCCACACCAACACCAACCCCCAAATGTTTTTTTAGTTTTTCCTTATACAACTCACTTTACCAACTAAGAACAGTCGTACCACAATGCATAAAATCAGAAAAAGCTCTCAGGGCATACTCACACTAGGAGTTTTTTAACTTATTTATTAACATAATTGTAGTGATATGCATCCAGAAAAAGCTCTCAGTACCTCCACGTTTTTAGGTCGTTAACGCGGTGGCTGAACCGGTGCGGCACGCAGGTCCATGTGCATTTGCGTCAGAGCCTCTACATAGGGGCCCTAAGACCGCCTGGGGTACTGGTGGCTTAAGATAAAGCTAGTGTGAGTAGGTCCTCAATTTATCAATCCTTGCTATGTATGAACCCGGTGAGTTTTCATGAGAAACTTAATGTCATTAACTGCCTTTCGATCTCTTTCAGTGATAATGGGGATCAGGTAGTAACCATAAAGTGATTGTTTGGCACACACCGTCAAGGACGATTACATAGCTGCAAGGATCCCGCCCCAACTGAAGGAAAAAATATTTAAAAGCTGTAGGAGAGACTCTCCCCTCGTGGAGACTAACTTCCAACACTTCACTTGGACTTGATATGCACACATCCAACCAACTGGTCAAAGGGTCTTTCAATGGAAGATCCTCCACAAGTATTTTTCAACACATGATTGACTGATCTCCAAAACAAATATGGAAGAAAAGGGTTTGATATCACCATTATGAAGGTATTGCAGTCTCTTGTTCCTTCTTAAAAATGGCAAACCATGCCTACCCCACGGTGAAGCGGATATAGAGGTGGTGGGATGCCGCATGGTATTACTTTACAGACTCTCATATGCAGTGGGACCCTTATGTTGGAGGAGGTGGCGATTACGTAGCCAGTGGGACCCTTTCATGTTGAACCCTTCAGAGCGAAATGCGTCTTTGAAAGGAATTAGCACACTTATGGTTTCATGCAAGCCAAAATAACGATACTAGATAAAATCACCGTGAAGACTAATAAAGCAGCACATGAATATAAATAATGACAAAAACTCAGAAACAAGCAGAATTAATCAACAATTTTCAAGCCATATAGGTAGATGTAGAATAAAAAAATTTGGTGTTTGTAAACCACAATAGCAACTTTTGATGGAACCCCTGGTGAAACATAGAAAGCATATGAGAAAGATTGTCATGTGACCAAATCAGAGTGTCATATAAGCCCATAAAATTCATCCTTATTCATCCGAGTCAGAGAGTGAACCCACCCGCTATCCCCACCAAGATGACAGATCAGTCATCACCAATACGACCTCGGTCTTTCCTTCGCTCCCTAGCACAAGACCCACCGCCCAACACCCCTCCTTTCCCCTCCTCCCCTCTACTACAAGAGCCAGCATCCCTGTTTCAGTCTTCACGCTGTCCCCTATCTACCCCCACGACCTATCTTTGTTGACCAAGGTGGGAGCTTTCCTTGTTACTCGTCATGAAGACACA